GGGGGGGGGGGGGGGGGGGGGGGTATCGAGATTCTATTATGTTTTTCTTACTGAAAACCCGTATAGCTCCAATAAAGATACCAGTCTTATTGTGATGTAATTAATATTAACTTCCAATCAGAGCTAACTATTTGTGATGTAATTAATATTAACTTCCAATCAGAGCTAACTATTTACTTAAAGCAAAACTAAAATTAAATCTGGCAACCAGTATAGCCAATTGAATATACTTTTGTAACATTGTGTTTCTTTTAAATTGTCAGGTGAAAATAACTCAGCGTCCAGTCCACTTAGTAAGAAGAAATCAGTTTATTTTCTCCTTTAACCCTAAACTGCTAGCATTAATTTTTTAATCATTAACACCAGATGGTATGGGGTCATAGTGACCTCACACTAGCGTTCTAGAGTTAAACGTTTCTACAAGCTTAAACTACTTTTAGCCCCCAGTGGCACAGCTGTATGTCTGCGGACTTACAACACTAGAAACCGGGTTTCGATACTCGTGGTGGGCAAAGCACAGACAACCCATTGTGTAGCTTTGTGCTTAATTACAAACAATAAACCACTTTTAAACTGTTATAATTTGTTAGGCCTACTTTTACAAATGACGTTTATACCTCTTTAATAATAGTACTAGGACTAACGTATAATCAATCAATTTACTTGTACAAAGTCGTGGAATAACTTTATTTTATCTCAACTAACGTCACGTTTCACGGAATGTCGTTTTTATAATCTCTCCTTGTTAGAGATACTTAAAATTACACCTGCAGCTTCATCTAGCTAACAAAGAAATTACAACATTAACATTATATATATAAAAGCTTACAACAATACGTTTCTAAAGAAATTACAACATTAACAACATATATATAAAAGCTTACAACAATACGTTTCTAAAGAAATTACAACATTAACAATACATATATAAAAGCTTACAACAATACGTTTCTAAAGAAATTACAACATTAACAATACATATATAAAAGCTTACAACAATACGTTTCTAAAGAAATTACAACATTAACAATACATATATAAAAGCTTACAACAATACGTTTCTAAAGAAATTACGACATTAACAATACATATATAAAAGCTTACAACAATACGTTTCTAAAGAAATTACGACATTAACAATACATATATAAAAGCTTACAACAATACGTTTCTAAAGAAATTACAACATTAACAATACATATATAAAAGCTTACAACAATACGTTTCTAAGATTAGACTGAATTGTTTCATCACTTGGGTACCCTCGCTGTTAACGGCAGGAATACCACATATCTATATATAGATCTCACTTTATACGTCGTCAGAAATTAGCAGCAGAACTACCAGGAGAGGCCATTGTACCAGTGATCACCCTAAAGCTCGAGTCTTCACCTTTCTTTTTAAACGAATTTATGAGAAGTTATTAAGTAGAAAACCAACAAATAACAAAAATAACTTCTTAGGTTCTACATTTTATTGAAGTAATTTTGAAAATCTATATTGGCCCACTCATAGGCGGGGAGTGAGTCTTTTGTTTGGATAGGCTATTCTGCCATGTGTAGGGGTTGCACAATTGAAAATAATCAGTTCGTGCTTCTAAACGGATAAACTCATACGTCATTTTTCGATCTCTCTCTCACCAAAAATACTGTACAATATTTTTGAGTTGGTGAGAATAATGCCCTGTGAGAGACGGATTATTTAGGGAGGCTAAGACCCTCAAGCCTCTTATACGTGCCGTTCCTGAATCTACTTGCATTACCAACAATATTACCAGTCACGATAACACTCTAAAGAAATTGGTTTAAATCATTAAAAAATCCTAAAAGAATAAAACCAGTGAAATTTCTATACCTTTGCTGACAGAATACGTACTGAATTCCTTCGTTACCTCGAATTGAATTAACATTGATTAACTGAACAAAATTCCTAAGTCATCTATAACAGTCGTTCTTAAACTTTGTAGAAGACTGACCTCTTCGTACACCTCCCGCTACCCCGGCAAGAATGAAATAAAGAGATTACGTCACATAGAATACTGACTCCTTGGTACCCCTTTCGCTCCCCCTGGCAAGAATGAAATAAAAAGATTACGTTACATGTGTTTAATCGTCACTTCAATAAAAAATTTGGTGATCGAATATTGAGTGCTGTCTCGTTAATCAATGCAGTAAATAATTTTCGTGGTAACTTATTTCCCAGAATCTTCTCACGCACCTCTAGGACACGTTCTGGGAGCACCCCCCCCCCCAGATTGAGAACTATTGATATACAATAGATTAGGAATTAGGGAAATTGATGATTGCTAGTTAATTTTTTACGTTTGTTAGAATATGCGGTCTACCGCCAGAGTTAAAATAAAAATCACAAACGAAGCGCTCAAGATCCATATTCAATTACACCCATTGTTTAGAGGACAAGGACAAAAACACTGAACTTGGAGAGCTGAAAAAACAACAACTTTGATTGTTACTCTGGAATACAGAAAAAAATTATAGTAGCAAAGAGCTTGACTGTTAAAAACAGAACAAACAAATCACTTTGTTTAAAATAATGTTGCACGGAAAAATTTATTGACTGTCCGTTGAATTTTCGTGCACATCTACTGGGCTATCTGCGCTGGCCATCCCTAATTTTGAAGTGATAGACAAGAAGCAAGATAGCCAACTCTTGAGGTATTCTTTTGCTTAACAATAATAGGATTGGCCATCACATTATAACGCCCTAATGGCTGAAAGAACGAGCATTCTCAGTGACTGTTTTCGATCCCACGACAAGCAGATTCCGAATCGAGTGTCCTAATCACCAGGCCATGTTTTAATGAAGCCATTAACATTTAATTTCCAGTTTCAATATTATTACCTAAACCTTCCTCACTGTTCTTGGAAGTAGATGGTTAGTAGTTGCATGGATCTCATATCATTAGGCCCATGTCGAAAAAAATCGAACTGTGTCCTTTGTTCACATTCTTGTATGAGTGTATTTTAACCGAGTTTTTTATTCTAACTGGGTTTGGTAACAATCAATCTGTAGACATTACAAAAATATATAAAATATTTATAGTTTTGCATTTTTTATATTGTTAAAAGTTTCAATATATATATATATATATTTAACAGGCCCCTCACGAGCCAGTGGGGGACATTTCTATTGAAAAAACAACAACAACCCAATCCGGCTTTTCTTAATTTGAACTGAAATTTTTGGACATTTTTATTGGCTAAAAAGAAGGCATTTCACGCGCACTTTTAGCGTTGGAGCTGCGAAAAGTGATATAAAGGATTGAAATCCGTCAGAGCATCACAGGCGTCAAGCACAAGAAGCATGGAAGTCTCCAAATGACACGCAGAGGTATCCAGGAACCGTTTAGAGCTACCTTGGTAGATATTGTGCAGCAAGCCGAGTGCAATATTATGCCTGTAGCTGCTTTCAAACTGTTCCTGTCTGCTCATCCTACTGCTGACTATCGTGATGCTTTGACCTTCCCTGCCGAATTGCAGGTGAAATCGTTCGTATCTCAATTGAAAGCTAAACATAAAATGGTGACAGCAGAAGCATAAAAGGTTGGAAATTGCTTAATTAATGATGCTGAGAATGTAGCTTTATTGACATATACTGAATTTACTCCCAGCGGGTAGACCTTAGTACTAGCCAGTATGGAGACTTGAGGATGCTGTATTTCACTTAAAAATTATCAATTAACAAATGAAAATTGTCTTGAAGTTTTCTTGAAAAGATACGTCCAAAACCACACTCTTTGGAAGTTTACGGATTGAACCTACTTTTAATATTCAACAAATTGTAGTGTGAAGACACCCCTGAGGGACGTGTTAAATCTAAACGATTTTATCATTGTAAATATATTTTATCACTTTTGGTGAACATTTTAATCAAGCCGTCTGTTTGAAAAAATTAGAAAGCGCGGGTTCATTATGATGCATTTATTTTTTCTTCTTCTTCTTCCTGCTTTTTGTAAACAGGTTTCATTGTTTTTATTGGTTTCAACATATTTGTTGTTGACGTACTTCGGCAAGTCAGCGATAAGTTTACGAACTTAATCACAAGGACCTTGGTGTAATCAACATATCTAACACCAGCCTGAAATAAGATGATTTAAATCACAAGGACCTTGGTGTAATCAGCATATCTAACACCAGCCTGAAATAAGATGATTTAAATCACAAGGACCTTGATGTAATCAACATATCTAACATCAGCCTGAAATAAGATGACTTAAATCACAAGGACCTTGATGTAATCAACATATCTAACACCAGCCTGAAATAAGATGATTTAAATCACAAGGACCTTGATGTAATCAATATATCTAACACCAGCCTGAAATATGATGATTTAAATCACAAGGACCTTGATGTAATCAACATATCTAACACCAGTCTGAAATAAGATGATTTAAATCACAAGGACCTTGGTGTAATCAGCATATCTAACACCAGCCTGAAAT